TAAGTAAATATGCCATGCCCATTTTTAGGGGCTCTTTTCAGTGTTTGGCCCCCATCTCCACCATTATTGCTCAGTTTTTGATGAAATTCAGACCAAATTGAAGGTAATAGATAATACAATCAGGAGACAATTCTGAATCAACAATGGCGTTGCTATGGTAACAAAGTGAATATGCCCCACCCACTTTTAGGGGCTCTTTTCAGTTTTTTGCTCTTATCTTCTTCATTATTGCTCAGATTTAGATGAAATTTGCACCAAATTAAAGGTAATAGATAGAGTAATCAGACAGTTAGTAAACTTTGCAAATAGGATGATTTGCATATTGATTATGATGTCATAACTGTTTGTTCTTGCATATTTTATCTTAATCATGATGTTCTAATCTGTGAAATTATTGTCTTTAAAATAGTCAGTAATGCTTCTAACTCATTAATTAATTTCTTTCTTTTAGTTGAGTTTATAATTTTATTTCATTCATACTTGCATGGTCATAAAAACTGAATAAATCTAAAAATATAATGAAAATCTCCAATTTATGCTGTTGCTATGGTTACAGCACGTAGCAAAACTATCTGATGTAAAAAGAATTCTTTAGGAAATTTTACATTTTGATGAGTTGACTGCCACATGTATTATTTTTAAAATATGATGACAGAAAATAATCTTGTAACTATAAAAATTATTTACTTTGGATTGTGTTATATTATGATGCCATAATGGCAATTATTAATCAGGGGTGCAGCCAGCATTCAGTTAGGAGAGGGGGGATTGCAATTGAAGCATAAGCAACCCAAAAATGTTTTTAAGATTTGTTTTGAATTTTACAAAAATTGATGCAACTTCCTTCAAAACCGATCTAGAATCTTCAAGTCAAAATGATTTTAAAGCTCTTCTTCTATTTAATGGTTATATTTTTTGGTTCATAGGGGCGCATCCATCGCACCCCCTGGCAATGCCTGTTAATCCAATATGATGTTGCTATGGTAACTAGGTGAATATGCCATCCCCGCTGTTCAGGGCTTTTCCAAAGTTTTGCTTCTATCTTTGTCATAATTACAGCTTGAGCGTATATGAAATATTCACCAAACTGAAGCTAAAGATTCAGACAATGCATGGATTATGTCAATTGACTGACTGGCATACCCATTGTCGCATTAATAGCTTTAAATTAATAGGTTTTGAAATCCGAAAAATATGTTCAATGTCAATTTACATAAAAAATAATATCATTTTATGGTATAGGTCAATTCTTTAGCCTATTTCATCTTTTAGGTCATGTAGACATAACTGTACCAATTTTGAACCGAATGGTCGGATGTCGGATTTCAAAACCAACAGCATATCTGAAATCAGGGGCTTCCATACTTCATACTTGTAAAGAAATGGAATCAATCATAGTTTTCAGCTTTGGCCTCATTTTATGGTGAATGTCAAAGGACAAGGTTCTAATTTGGAACCATTTTGAGCAATTTTACCTTGTTTCAAGAGATAATCACAAAAAGCAGCTATGATACCATAACAGGTACTGTACTCCTGGTATTTTTCGCCTGCTATTTAGTTTCGTGCTTGGTAAAATCGCAAAAATTAATCTTAGCGAAATTGTCAATTAAATCCCAGGGATTTGTGAAATTTATTATTACATTTCTTGTTTTGTAAAATGTTTTTCAAGTGTTTTTAGGCGATTAATGGAATAGTTAGTACCAATGTCTATTACAGTGGAATCATTTTGAGCAATTTTACTTTATTTCAAGAAAATAATCACAAAAAGGAGCTATGATACCATAACAGGTACTTAGTATGTCAGTCAGCCAATCTACATTATTCATGTATTGTCTGATTCACCTAGCATATTCACCTAATGGTTACCATAGCAACATCATATTGGATTAACATAGGGAGTGCTTAGAGGAATGGGGGTGCGCTGGGTTCACTCACCCCCTAATAACCAATAAAAATAGAACCATTAGATAAAAGAAGACTTTCGACTTGAAGCTTTTTGCTAAATTTTGAAGGAAGTTGCATCAATCTTTGTAATATTCAAAACCTATCTTATAAATACTTTTGTGTTGCCTGTGCCACGATCGCAGGCCCCCTTCTGAATGAAAGCTGGCTGCGCCCCTTATTAAAAATTGCCATTATGACACCATAATATAACACAATCCAAATTTGATAACTATGGTTATTAGATTATTTTCTGTCACCAAATTTTAAAAAGAATACATGTCAGTCAACTGGTCAAAATGTAAGATTTCCTAAAGAATTCTAGTTTACAGCAGATAGTTTTGTTACATGCTGTCACCAAAGCAACAGTGTGAATTGGACACTTTCATTATATTTATTCAATTTTTATGATCATACATGTATGAATGAAATAAACTAATAAAGTCAACTAAAAGAAATAAACTAAACTAATTAAAAGCATTATACTGACCATTTTAAAGACAATGATTTCCCAGATTTATACATTATGATTAAAATAAAATATGCAAGAACAAACAGTTATGACGTCATAGTTGAAAGGCAAATCACCATATTTGCATATTTTAAAAATTGTTTGATTCCTCTTTCTATTACCTTTAATTTGGTGCAAATTTCATCTAAATCTGAGCAATAATGACAAAGTAAGGGGCCAAACACTGAAAATAGCTCCGAAAAGTGGGTATGGCATATTTACTTTGTTACCATAGCAACGCCATATCGGATTCAGAATTGCCAACTCAATATTTCTTGATTGCATTATCCATTACCTTCCATTTGGTGTGAATTTCATCTAAATCTGAGCAATAATGGCAGAGATAGGGGCCATACACTGAAAAGAGACCTTAAAAGTGGGCGTGGCATATTTACTTGGTTACCATAGCAACCCCGTCGCGGATTCAGAATTGCCAACATCATTTTTCTTGGTAAGTATCACGTATAGTTCAGGAAAACATATGTCGCTTAGCTCGCCTCTAAAAAGGAAACGGAATGACCTTTGCTCCCATACTATTATAGTAAAAAATGTTATCGAGCAGAACTTCTACCCCTATTGGGTATATGTGTACAAAATATGAACAAAATCGGGCCAGCTGTATTTGAGTAATTGCCCGGACGGACGGACAGATAGACGGATGGATGGACGGACGGACGGACGAAGGCATTCCCTATATCCCTCCGAACTTTGTTCGATGGGAAAATAACCAAAGACAGAGCCTTAGGTACATATTGTGAAACACCTCCACAAATGGTTAACTATATACCCATGACTCGTTACCTGGATCTTAAATACATCTCTATAAGCCTGATCACCAAATAGTACCACATGTTTAACCTTTTCATCATTTCATATAAAATTTTAGGAAGCTATCGCCACCATACGGTTGCTATAAATCAAATGTGACCGAGGTATTACGCAGGTTGAACTGAATAATATTTTCATCATTTCATAAAAATATTGAAATCGTTTGCTCTTCGTGAAGCTCTCAGGAGCATAAATTCCTTGGGTCAGGTCCGGCATCAGAAAACCACATTTATGATTCTGTTTTATTAGCTTTATCATGTCAGCTAATGAGTAATATGCAAATATAGGAAATATTGCTAGATCACTATCATGCACTTATGATTAAATTAATAATAAAGTTAATCTCTGTTTTCTTTTGTGAAAATCCTTCCCATTAAAAAACGACAAATCAACAATTGATGCCAGTTTTTACATGGGATTAAAGCATTGTCACAACAGTTCAAATATCACTCATTATTTATATGAAGCGTATACTGTATATGATATATCCATAAATTTTCTCATAGTTGAGGTGAGATCTGTTTGATAAGATTAATATTTGAGATATTCCATAAATGAATAAAACAGGATAAGATAAGATACCATAATTTTTTCAAGTTATCATTACAATGTATATCTACAATATCTGCACTCATTGACAGCCATTCTTGCTATCTTGGATAAAAATGATATCACTTAAAATTATGAGATATCATAGTTTATAGTTTATAGTTATAGTTTATTTCATAATATAACAATGTAAAGTACAAAACGTGTGCACTCGACACCCTTAGTAATTGGGCGTATCAGTGCTTATTTCAAAATGTGTTGCAGAGCAACCAAAATTACATATAATATAACATATAACAATACAGATACAATTAATAGATACAATACAGAAACATATCCTCATTATAAAAAGTTACAGGCAAACAAGACATGCATCCATCTAAAACCGAAGCAGACTTACAGATTACACATAATTGAATGAGATTTTATGGATATACCATCTTTATAACCAATTGAGAATAGCAATTATTGCTAAATAATGAAAGGGTCTCGGGAATTTATGGAATATGTCTATTAAATAAATTTTCATGGTTCAGAAAGTACAATGTCTTTTTGTAAAAATGAATAAAAACAGTTATGCTATACTTAATTCTGAGCTATACTTAATACTATACTTTTTAATCCATAAATCAATAACTAGAGTGGAACGCCTTAACCATCTAGGTCACCATTAAGGTGTATTAGATGCGACATATTAACAATGCAAATGTGACAATATCAAAAGCTTGTATCTAATTTCCTTATTTCACTCTGTATGGCTTATAATACACATGATACTCTGGAGGAAAACAAAACCCTTTTAACATGGCAAATGCATCTGTCAATGTATTAATTAGATATATAAAAAAAGACTCAGTTAATGAAGATATATTCATCATTATTTATTCATACACTGTGAGAGATAATTTTTTAATAGAATCAAGACAATTGAGATCTAAACTGTCATATCGTATTTGCCGTAATTGTCCCTATTAGCGCCCCCTAGACTTCTGGAGGCCCGAGGGTGAGTCCCTGGGTAGAGAATCAATGATCAGTAGGGTCAAACATTTTCAATTTTTTTCTCAACTTAAACTAAAACTGAAGCATTTTCCCTCAGTCGGGACTCATATAGGCGCTAACAAGGACAACTTTTTGAACTGTTTTGACTTACTTTAAGCACCCAGGTGCCAATCACGGCTATTAGGTATATATATTAATAATTATGTATAAAGACTCAGAAGATGAAGATATATTAAATATATTTTAACAATAATTACAGAGGTCTAGATAAGCTGTAGCCATTTGCCAATTGCGAATATTTATCTAACTTATCTAGACCCCTGATAATTATGTATAAAAAGGTTGTTTACTCAAATAATGAAGATATATAAATAATTGTTTATTGATATACCAGAAAGATAATCTCTGAATACTGAATCTAGACAATTGAGATAAAGTTATTGAATTTTGTTGAGTAAGTGCCTGGAAAGATATTTCCTTGATAACAAGCTGGCTCCCACATTTATAACAACGGAAACAAAAATAAAATTTCATTGAAATCATTTAAAATCCGATACAAACTCCCGATTTAAATATTTAATAATAACAAATTTCAACAAGGCATTAACATGCAAAAAATTCGCCACCAGCCATTTGTTACAGACACCCAATGCCAAACACCAACCACTAAATGCCAAACACCAACCACAGAATGCCAAACACCAACCACAGAATGCCAGACACCAACCACAGAATGCCAGATATTAACCAAAGAATGCCGAACACAGTCCACAAAGAAGTTGGAGACTATAGCAATATGCAACATATGGCCTGATATTATACCACCTTGGAAATACCAAGAATGGGACAAGAAAACAATGAATGGGACAAGAAAACAATGAATGGGACAAGAAAACAATGAATATGGGACAACAATGAATGGACAAGAAAACAATGAATGGACAGGAAAACAATGAATGGACAGGAAAACAATGAATGGGACAAGAAAACAATGAATGGACAAGAAAACAATGAATGGACAGGAAAACAATGAATTGGACAAGAAAACAATGAATGGACAAGAAAACAATGAATGGGACAAGAAAACAATGAATGGACTTGAAAACAATGAATGGGACAAGAAAACAATGAATGTGAGACAAGAAAACAATGAATGGACAAGAAAACAATGAACGGGACAAGAAAACAATGAGTGGACAAGGAAACAATAACTGGACAAGAAAACAATGAATGGACAGGAAAACAATGAATGGGACAAGAAAACAATGAATATGAGACAAGAAAACAATGAATGGATATGAAAACAATGAATGGGACAAGAAAACAATGAATGGACAAGAAAACAATGAATAGGACAAGAAAAGCCAGAATTTTTAAATGTCATCTTTAACTCTGAAGGATAAAATTGTCCCTGATCCCCTCTTGACTACCGAGAGTGACAAGATTTCTCGTCACCTTAAATTAGTAAAACGTCAAAAGCTGACAAAAATGAAAAGCTCTGGTCGCAAACCAATTTTAAAGCCTGGGAATCAAGAGGTTGAATTGTAAATTAGATTAGTTTTTTTTAATTTGTTTGCTACAGGCAATGGTAATAGAGTGTCGTGAATCAGGATTTAAAACCTTCCAAGTATATTTAACATAACATTTATTAAACATGTCTTGTTAAGACAATTATCAACGTTGAAGTATCTAATAATGAAAGAAACAATAGGCATATGTGCAAATAATATTGATCTCATTATATTGTTCTTCGTGAAAAAATTTATATTCTGTTTGCAATTTGATATAAATTCCCCTGACAATCACAGGCAGAGTCAGTGAAAAATGAAGTATTTCTTAGAAAATATAATGAGACCTTTATGTGATTGGGTCACAGTGTATTTCTATTAGCTTAAAGTCATCGTGATAAGACTAGGACATTTTAGTAATTCTTTTCATATCTACATTCGGATGCATATGATGGTAAGCCCTAATAAGTTACCTATTAAACTCTTTGTGAATAATGCATGACGCTTTCACTCACAGCTGTCATTAGATACATATGATTTAAACCCTAATGCAATGCATGTACTATAAGACATAAAACAGTTCGACCCAGCAGTTTCGGGTCTGACTTGGTCAACATAACATACAACCTTTATACACAGTCTTGGGAACAATTGGACAGAAAAGAGAAATGATAAAACTTGCAAGGTTACCTCCATCGATAACAATAATTAAATGTATAATCTATAGACAGTAAAACCTGTGCATTCACGTACTGAACATTTTTGCCAAAAAAAAATGTTCTGTGTTGGTAGGACCTGTGTTCACTAAAGAGAGGTTAATTTAAACAGAAGTCAGTGGAGTATTTGCAGAGAAAGGGTGTCCAATAGAGACAGGTGTCCACTAGAGACAGGTGTTCACTAGAGAAAGGTGTCCACTAGAGACAGGTGTTCACTAGAGAAAGGTGTTCCCTAGAGACAGGTGTTCCCTAGAGAGATGTGTTCACTAAGACAGGTTTTATTGTACTTGATCTGTTTTAACATACACAGTATAACCTGTAAAGTGAAACAGCTCTGCTTGTGGACAACCGCCATAAAAGGAAATATTCAAATTCCATCTACTCTTTCGTTTAATGTAAAGAAAACCTTCCAAGTGGAACACTTTCAAAGTGGAATACTTTCCAAGTGAAACACATTCTAAGTGGAACACTTTCCAAGTGGAACACTTTCTAGGTGAAACACTATCTTAAGATACCAAAGCAAGGTGTTCCAAATACACAGATTTTACAGTGTGTGCAATTTGAACTTACCTAACTGCTACTTTAAACATTTTCTCAGAATAATTCTTCTTTTTATATTCAGGATGAAGATCTTTAAATTCCCATAATTTGTTCAATATCTGAAAATAAATAAATCAATTAAGTGTAAAAATTGATGTTCAAATTTGTCAACAATAAACATGAAATAGCAAGGGCCTAATTATTACTTATATTAAAACTAAGTCTCCATTCTCTAAAACACTAATCTTGCAATGAGTCCTTATATGCTTTGATTCCCAAAATATCTCCACCAATGAAATACACAAACAGAACATTTTCATTTCATAATTTTCAAATAAATGCACTATGTTTAATTATCAAAAATCATTAATATTGCAAGTATTAAGATACAAAGTTAGTCTGTTATTTTCCCAGTTTTTTCAAGAAGGGGAGTTGCTTAATTTGTTTACCCAAAATCATCATCAAATAATATCATCTACAATCAAATAGTAATTTTGCTATCATAGTCATATACATTTTGAGCCACATAAAGGGGCTGTGTCGATTTGAGCCAAATAAAGGGACTCTATCAATTTGAGCCAGATAAAGGGAATGTAGCCATTTGAGGCACATAAAAGGCTGTACCTATTTCATATGTAAAGGGAATGTATCCATTTGAGCCACATAAAAGGCTGTACTTATTTTCATATATAAAGGGGCTGTACCAATTCTCCAATGCTACTTACTGTTGCTGCGAACTTGTTCACTTTATTAGTATATTTGTTGCTAGTTGCTATATGATGTAACCTAACCACTCCTTCCTTCTCTACAATTGACCTGAAGATACAACAAAACAAACAATTTATTATTGTTGGCCTAAGTGCAACACATGAAGGTAGGTATTATTGTACTTTGTTTATATTACCACCAATGAAGGTATGGTAGTAACACTGGGGTATATATCCAATATTCAAGTCATATAAAGAAAAGACAGACCCAGGAATGCCTCTTTGAAGGAGTCTACATAAGAATTATCTTTAACTCTCATACAGACATTCATATTCATATGCTTTTAAACAAGTTGTGGAACACTCAACCGTGGGACATTACACATTTGTGTGCAATACATCAGTATGTTAGTCTACATGTTAAGTCCTGGCAGTTGGTTACCCCAGTCTACTCAACTGACCTCTATATTGAAGTTCAGTTTATTTAAAGTCTATATATGAAGGGGATTGAAGGTATAGGAATCATATATAGATGGCAGAGTGGTTACTATTTCAATATGATTTCAATGGGACCAAATCTGAATTGAAGTAAAGAAAGAACAAATATCAAAATCAGAATTTAATTCTTAAATCAATGGAACCAGTGATCTCCCCAGCATTACAACAAGTGGGCGCAGCATCCACCTGAGATTTTGAAAATCTATTTGCACCCACTTGAAAAGGTAAATAAAAACCATGAAAAATTTGCATATTTTGACCAATTTTGGTCTGATTTGTGAAAATGAGAATTTTGCACCCACCTGAGAAAAAATCCTTGGGAGATCACTGGGAACTGAACATAAAATCTGCATGCTATTCTCAATAACATATGATTTGTTTATACTTTTTCTGTCTTAGAAGAATAAAATAATCAGCACACACCAGGGAAATGTCTACTTTGCAATTTTACTCAGTGGCAGACTGATAGCATCAAACAAAAATCTTTACAAATTCTTATTGTTTGACATGTCAACTTTAACTTACATGGCGAATTCAGAACTTTTCTTGATGACTTCATACAATGTAGCTATGATGGCTGAAATTGTCTCATTTGACGGAAGTTGCTCTGGTGATTTGTTTTCTTGGGGATGGGGAAGCTTTATCACCAGTTGTTGCATCGCATATTTTCCTACAAAATAAGTATAAGTATAGCATACACTTAGAGTCGACCACCAGGGCCAATGTCACCCTTATCGCCAGGTATTCCAATCAATCCAGTATCACCTTTCGTACCCCTAGGGCCAATTTCACCAAGTGTTCCATTAAATAATAAAGCCAAAGCATTTTTTAAGTTGCTTGTATGGACCTTAAATTTTAACAAGGCAATTATATGAACAAATAACACCTGGATGTAATGACAAAAGTGTAACGATTGTTACAGATGCTGATGGTAACCCTACCTATTAGTTCTTTGTTCCTAGTGTCGATGGCAAGGTTGCGGAGAGCAGTGGCTGCAGCGCGGACTACACGGTCGTTGTCCAGACCTAGCAGCTCAACAATAATTGGCAATCCTTTCTCTTTTCTTACGGCAGCTCGGATATCAATTGAAGGCTATAGGCGATAAAAGGTTGGTTGTTTTTAAAGAGGGGAATATAAATTAACTGATCAGTGTATAGTTGTGACAGTGTGCTGCTTAATTATCAATCAGTTGGGCGATGATGAATGAATTTTTAACAGACCAGGGGTGACTGTTGAAAATATTTCATTTTCTACATTTCAATTGTACAACAGACTTGTAATATTTAGCAACATGCAAACTGATTTTCAGAAATCAAAATATATTTGCAGAATACATTGTCCAAGAATTGTAAATTGTTTAACCATTTAAATGAGTCTTCAGGGAAAACCTGTACAAACCTGCCATTCGCAGGCTGCCAAATTCTGAATGGCTCCCGCAGCAGCTTCTAAAGTCTCGGGATTGGAGCAGTCAGATAAAAGTGGGAGGTACACATGTACGACATCTGGTCTCCATAGCAATCCCATACCTTGGTTGGGGTCAACATTAGGTATACTACTGAAAGTGGAGCGAAGACATTTGAGCTCCTGGAGATATTATGATTTTAAATGAGTTAAATCTTACATTTTATACTGATTTCAACAAGTCTTTCAACTTGACATTTTCTAAGACATTGAATCTACAATCAAGAAATGGTTAGATTATATAATATTTACTCAAAAAATAATCATAGATTTTTGACTTACTTTTGTGGACTATTCTGGTTTTTAGATTCATTTGCTGGCTTTTTATTTTTCTTACTTCCTCCGAAACAGCCAGGATTTTCTGAAAAATTATGTTGTAAAATGAACAAATTTTATACTCCATGTAAGGTCATAAAGAATAAATCTCAACAAAATAATAATTTGAATTAAATTGAATATTGCGATTTGAATGTTTATCATTTTGAATATTTAATGTGCAATGCTGCATCAATGACAGAACTTGAATGGTTGGATAATATTGTAAAAGTAACTCTATTTCAAGCTCTCCCTATCCTCATTACAGATCTCTACCATTGTGAGATGATGAGGTTTAGGGATGGAAAGATCTTTTTCAATAATCCCCACCCCTTTTGCAACATCAAAGATTAGCATATATTGGCAAGACTGATGATGTCATAGGTTCTCTGTAGCAAACTGTTCATGCTTCTTTGTTGTTGCAAAGATGGCAGGTCTAATGGCACGTCTAATTGGAAAAATCTATTGATACACCAATCTTCCCATTAAAGGTCCCTAACACATTCAACCATCCTCTTACCTGCATCATTCTGTTGGGCTTGAGCTTTCTTTGCAAGATACTTCTTATCTGAAACTTCCTGACACGCATAACACAGGTTTCTTAAGACACATACACAGTTCTCTACAGACTTGTTATCAATGTCGTTCTTCCCGATAGCAGCTTTTACAATATGTAGTAGAGCATCTACGAGCCCTTCACACTCTCGTAATTTCTTTCTGGCATACTCATCTGCTGAACTGATGTTCCTGAAGTGCAAAATATTTTGTTTAAATAATGTGTGATTTATACAGAGATAGGGAAACTGTCGCAAATCAAAGATATACCCTTTCATATAAAAATTTGATATCTCTTTAATTATCATTCTGATGGGAATTTAGGAGACCTGCCAATTTAACCATTAACGACTTTATGTTCAAGTTCTGCTACTCTATGACATTTTATGAGGCCTTCGATTGTTCATGTAGTGGTATATAGTTAAAATAATTGGAATTATTTCATGAATCAAAAATTCTGATAAAAGTGACCTTTATTTGATTTTTGTAAAATGAATAAACTATCCAGCCCTAAACATTGTTTCACTTCCAAACCAGTAATTCAAATATACAAACCTCAGAATTCCTGTTGTATTTCTGAACACAGTTGACCAGTTGTGAATATCCCTGGGGGGTTGATTGGGGTCCATGTTCTGGTCCCACCCAGAGTATGGGATCAACACGTGCCTCACTAGGGGAGCCAAGGCCTCATCTATTATGGGCTTCTTCAGGGTCTGAAATAAATACCATGTGGTTAGTAAATTTTGATTGCTATTGTAAATTGTCATATTTTGTTTTTGTTTTATTAACTTTTGGATTTAATGGACTTTTCTCAATTCTATCAACTTATTTTATTCAGATCAGTTGTTTTGTATTCTCCAATGGCTGAAAATTCAGCTAGCCCCTAACTGGTTCCTGATACATCTGACATGACTTGCATCTCATCCAGATAACTGAATACTTACTGGACTTGAAGACATGTTCCAAAGAATGCCAGTGACAAGCTCTCTGACATCATTGTCAACTGACTTCATCAGTAAATGAACCAAAGCTGGTAGACCCCCAGCGTTGTTAATAGCTTTCTGAAAAACAAAGGACAAAATCTCTGCTTTATACTTTTATTGAGAATCTGTAATCTTATACAAGGTTATATATTTCATGAATTTGTGAGGTGTTGCCGCCATTCCATCAGTTTTTCTTATATTAGGTGTGTTGGATATTTGTATGTTCTATATTTGAAATAGCAATAAAAGGGAGATCCAAACAGAAAGGTGAATTTCAAATTAATAATATGAAACCTAAACAGCCTTATGATTTCAGGATTGGCTAGTATTATATTTTGCCCAGAAATTAAGAAAAAATCAACATTTGCATTGTATGTAAAGATACTACTTTAATGATAGCACAATGAGGTCACATTGCTACCTACCTTATTTTCCTCATTTGGTTTACCATAGGACAGATTCCTGAGAGCCCCACTGGCATTTCTATGAACTTCTGGTATCTCATGGCTTAGCAGCTCAACAAGGACTGGAATTCCCCCTAGTGACCTAAAACACATTAAACATAATGCATAAGTATCACATTTTCATTTCTATGAACTTCTGATATCTCTAGCAGCTCAACAAGGACTGGAATACCCCCTAGTGACCTAGAACACATTAAACATAATGCATAAGTATCACATTTTCATTTCTATGAACTTCTGATATCTCTAGCAGCTCAACAAGGACTGGAATCCCCCCTAGTGAACTAGAACACATTAAACATAGTACATAAGAAAGTTCACTTTTAAATGATGTGAATACATTTTCTTCTTTCAATTTATTCCCAAGCACACACAATTTGTGGTCTTCCAAACACGACCATTTTGACTCTAAAACTGTTGTTTTGGTACTGAATGGCTTAGTTTATTTGTCAATCCCTGAAAGGGTTTCGAAATCTAACATTTTGACCAATGCCAGCAGAAGACATATGGTTATTTGTGTACGTACCTGGTTTTAGCCTTAACATCATCATCATGGAAGGTTAGATGCTGCAGGTAGGCTGCGGCATTTGACTTTATTGCATCATTAGGATGGCTCAGGAACTCGATCACTTCAGGTAGGTCAGGATCCCGCCATCTCATTTCTGAAACAACATACATATTACGGTGATCTCCTCTGGATTTTTTCTCAAGAGGGTGTCAAATTCTAAATGTAACTGATTTTGTTGGAATATCTCAATTTTCACAATCTTGGAGGGTAAAAACAGATTTTCAATGGGGTAGAGTAATTCTCTGATTATCAACAAGTTTGCATCTAATTTTTCTGGGTGGCATGTTCACATTTTCAACAGGGTGGCCATTGTTTTCTCAAATGTAAATTAGGAATTCTGAAAATTTCCAGTGATAGATTTTCTGATATGAGAACATTTCTACTTGTGAGTAACTAAACCGTGAACATTTTCCTGTGTGTCACAAGTTTTTGTGTTTGATAATAAGACACATGTAATAGACACCCAAGTAAAAAGGGCTCAGAATTAAAAGTAATTAACACACTTTAGCTATAAGGGTCTCATACCTCTAGTTGCACTGTCCACTGAGGGTGACCTTCTGGGGTCAAAGTCAGGCCCTCCAACGAGGCCTTCCTGGACCTGGGGTATTCCCTCAGGATAGGCTGGTCTTGGGGGTTCATCATCATAAAGGGGTCTGCCCCCTGGGGACCTCTGTAGGGAGTTATAGTCTGCCCGTTCTGTATATCCTGGGGGTCCCCCAAATCTGTCACTACCCCCTGCTGGGGAAGGAGTCTGTTGTCTATTGTACTTGTCAAGATCTATGCCGTCATAGCGATCATTAGGGTAACGGTTGTCAGGGCCATTGCCGTATACATCAGTAGGAGGGTTACCATAGCGATCATCTGATTGACTGCCATAACGAGGCTCTGTTGGTGACTGCGTTCTAAACGCTGATGTAGGGGGGTTACCATAGCGATCATCTGTCTGGCTACCATAACGGGGTTCTGTAGGTGACTGTGTTCTGAAAGCTGATGAAGGAGGGTTGCCATAGCGACTGTCATCAGGGTAGCGATCATCAGGAGGATTACTGAAGGAGTCGTTAGGCTGTGAACTGTAGGGGTCCTCGGGGTACTGGCTTTGGTCCCTGTACTTCTGGTCAGCAAGGATCGTCGTCGTAGTAGTTGTAGTCTTTTTAAAACTGTATGGATCTTCATTGGGTACAAAACTATCTTCAGCTACCTGTGGGGCATATCTGTCATCAGCCATGCGTGGGGCATACCTATCATCTGGCTGGGGGATATACCTATCATCATTAGTGGTATATGTTTCCTGTTGCTGAATATAGGGGTCTCTGTTATATTCATTTTCTCTGTAAAAACATAATGAACATTACAACTGAAATATCAATTTTTTAATAATTTGAATCTAATTTCAATTAGTTAGTTCTTTTGAACTTGAGTTGACTTTGGGTTATTATTTAACTTTATATCAATTAATAACATACAATCTATAAATTGAATCAGTTACTAACTGTCAACAGGCACATAAATCTATGCGTAAGCTTATATTCAAGTATGACAATAAGACACAATCTCACATATACAACACATAAAGCTAACATAACCTGCAGTGTTTCAATCCAAAATTATGAACCTGAATCAACTAAAATCAAAAAAGTGAAAAAAGTTTCAGTGATAATAAGTTGTCATAATACAGTATGGTGACATAATATTACAACATATAACTTATCGAATGATTTTGATTGGCTGGTTATACACCAATCAGACTTTGTGAAGCTCTAAGTTATATGTGATAATTACATGTTTTAAGAAGCAGAAACTTCCCAAATACCTGCTTGAATACTTAACTAACATTGCCAGTTTCATGATGTATGATGTGTTTATTAATGATCCTTATCCCAAGCTTGAGTTTAACAGACCCTTTTACCAGATTTACAAAGCCACTATTAGTGATGATATCCAATGGAAATCCTTATGTGTTAATTAAATGTGTTTTGAAAAAAATATTTTTAAATTGTTTAAAATCCATAGAAAAATTATGATTGAAATTGTTTTTTAATCCATAGATATATTCTGAAAATAGTTTTAAAAAATAGCCTAAATATGTGATGTTAAGAAAGCTATATGTTGCAGTAAATTTTGATTTGAACATTGTAACATTTAAATTATTAGGAGGCCCCAACGGGGGGCCTCCTATTAATTTTGTAGATATTATTATTCTTTATTATTGTTTATTCTTCCTCCCTCTTTTTCTCCTACTTCCAACTAGCTTTCAACTAGCTACTACATAATCCTACTAGGGACCTTGGCTGAACTTGGTGGGAAAGGAATTTTTATCTAGGTCAAGGTCAAAGGTCAAAATCTAGGTCAAATCTAAGTTTTTTTAAGTTTCTCAAGGCCTGACACTAGACTTCAACATTTTTGGCTGATTTTTTGCATAGAGATAGATATTAGTATTCTATTAGTGTTAGCCTTTTGCCGTCTGGACGAATTTTGCCTACATTTTGAGATATTTGACGTCAAAAAACGGTCAAAAAAGGTCATTTTTCAACTTGCTTCAATTTGACCAAATTTTTTTTTAAAAAGCATCTACAAAGTCTCAGGAGTTCAAATCTGACCTCAGATTTGACCTTTGACCTTTAGTTGACCTTCTGTGACCTTCGAAAGGTCAAAAAAGTTGATTTTTCAAATTGATTTTTTGGATTCAAATTTAAGTCAGCTTCATCACAAAGGACATACTGAGCTCTGAAAAAGTAAAATTTTCAAGGTCAAAGGTCAAGGTCATCAAATTAGATAACAAACTGTGCTATCTAAGTTTCTCAAAATTCGAGACTACAAATCAATATTTTTGGTTGAAAGTCAGGATATATATTCCTCTAAAGGTAATACACATATTAGCAATTGACCATCTATTAAAATTTTGCACCAGTTTTGAGATATAAGAGCTCAAGAACTGAAAAAAGGTCAAATTTCGAAAATTTTGAAGGTCAAATTTCAACTTGCTTCAAATTGACCAATTTTTTTTTAAAAAGCATCTACAACGTCTCAGGAGTTCAAATTTGACCTCAGATTTGACCTTTGACCTTTACTTGACCTTCTGTGACCTTCGATATATTCCTCTAGAGGTTCTACACATATTAGCAATTGACTATTTATTAAAATTGTGTACCAGTTTTGAGATATTGGAACTCAAAAACTGAAAAAAGGTCAAATTTCGAAACTTTTCAAGACTAAATTTCAACTTGCTTCAAATTGACCAATTTTTTTTTTAAAACTCATCTACAAGTTCTCAGGATTCCAAATCTAACCTTACTTTTGACCTTTGACCTTTGGTTGACCTTCAGTGACCTCCGAAAGGTCAAAAAAGTTGATTTTTCAAATCGATTTTCTGGATTCAAATTTAGGTATATTTATTCACAAAAGACCTTCTGAGGGCTAAAAAAGTAAAATTTGCAAGGTCAAAGGTCAAGGTCATCAAACGAAATCACAAACTGTGTTTTCTAAGTTTCTCAAAATTGGAGACTACAAATCAATATTTTTAAATGAAAGTCAGAATATATATTCCTCTACTAAAGGTTCTACACATATTAGCAATTGATTATCTATTAAAATTTGGCTCCAGTTTTGAGATATTATAGCTCAAAAACTGAAAAAAGGTCAAATTTCGGAATTTTTCAAGGTCAAATTTCAACTTGTATTAATTCGACCAAACCTTTTTAAAAATCATCTACAAGTTGTCTGGAGTTCATATATGACCTTGTATTAGAGATTTGACCTTTGGCTGGCCTTTGAATGTTCAGAAACGAATATAGGGCCTCCGTAAGATTGCTTGCAATCTTAGATCGTTAGATCTCTAGTTACGAATAAATTAAAAGAGACTGAATTTCAAATGAGAAAAATTAAACACTCAAAAAGCAAAAAATAATTCATAATATCTAAAAGTTAAAATAAACCTTTTCATGGCCATGAGGCTGTAAATAAGAACCTACAAAACTTGAGAGAAATCAACATAGCATGCACAAACATGTATTAAATGTCAAATATTCAAAATAAATTCATATTTGAAAAAGTGATAAATTGAAAGTGTTTGTTACACAAAGACACACCGAAAGAAAAAGCACAGGGTTACATCAACTTCATAAATCAGAGGATAAAGAAAAGAATTTCAGAAACATTTGTATTTAAATTAATTTGATCTTTTAACGTGAGAAACACACAGTACTTATATTAATAGTCTATTACACAGTCAAGACTGGTGATGTAAAAGAGAGGGAAATTTCTTTTTCCAATTCTATAGACTGTGTGCTCTACTATACAGAGGGGGACAAAACATTTCAGTGAAAGATAAAGGTATAACACATCAAGGGAGAAATCTAGAAATCTGAATGAGCTGAGAACAGATCACATAAAGGGGTATAAGATCATATAATCAAGTCATATTTCATTTTTTAGATTCTTATATCAAATATTGAAAGCTGATGTTTTTCCCTTGGCTCTTTAATAGAACACTCTCAACAGTTTACCCCCTCCCTAAAAACCATGTTCTCCAAAAATTGAAAATCACATCCTTTCCTCCATATATTTACACAAATACATGATGACTTCACAATGATAATATTATGACATCACACTGATATCAATATGACATCACAATGATATCATAATACAAGTTAAGGTCAAAAATGTCAGAGTGTGAAGTGAGAGTGTTCTACAATGAGCCGCATTGCAAGATAGAAAGCCAAGCTACCTAAGGCTAGGATAGTAGTTTTCATAATTATGGCTGTTATAAGTGAAGTCATGGTTGTTCGTAAACCTTGTGGGGGTAGGGGGCCCCTGGGCGGGCCGCAGCGGAGGTGGATCCTCAGCTTGTGATGAAGACCTCAATGAACTGTACGTTGCATAATTGTCCAACTGGTCATTCTGCGGGACATCTCCGGACTGTGTTATGTGACGTGTTGTTACAACTTTTGTTACTTTTGTGACCTGTAACATTGAAAAGGAATTCATTGATTCATGTATTTCTTACTTGCCAATTGAACCTTCAGCGATATAATTCATTCTCTTATGTTTAGTGAATTGAGATCTTAAGATTTCATATTTTTTTCCATTTACAGTGGTTATTTTACTGAGAATTATCCCAGCAATCCATCAACACATTATTTTTGCCTAGAATGTCATATATTTTTGCAGAAATGTCACATTACAGCCGGTCACCTTTAGATACTATTTTTCAATAACATATTTTTCAGATGAGTATTCACATTGCAATAGACTAGCCAGAGAGGTCAATTATTTAAATATACTAGATGACAGACTGATATAAGTCAATACATATAGGTTATTTACTGGGAGGGATTGAATATGGGTTTTATTCCGAGGGACAATATGATATTGACACATATTGACCGAGTGTCAATATCATATTGCTCAAGGTCAATATCATATTTTCCTAGGAATAAAACCCATATTCAATCCCAACCAGAAATAACCTATTTATTCCATAATACTTTTCTCTAAAATGTTACATTTGGATAATGCTTTTATCAATTAGTCAAGGTTAAAAATAACCGGGAAACCAAAAATAGGTTAAAACGTTCCAATACGATTTTTTCCCGGGGACAAGAAGATTTTTTCATGTAATACGCTCCAATACGATTTTCTCCCAGGGACAATACGATTTTTTCATGTAATACGATTCAATATGATTTTTATTCCTTCATATTTCCCTGGGAGACCAGTAGTATAGTGGAATAAGGAATTATTATAATTCTGCAAATCAATGATGAAATCTTACTCTTTGTTGCTCTGCTGGTTGGTCACTTTGTATAGAAAGGTAAGACATGTTAGGAGATTCTGGGCCAACATCCCCGTATCTCTCGTATTGAGTGGCTGTCCCGTTGGGGCCATTCATGGTTCTTGTGGAATAGGTTGCTGTGCGGTAATGTTCGCTGCTGGGAGGAGGGAGGGGTGGACCTTCATCAGGGTATTGGTCATTCTGTTGGTCATCTCTGCAAGGAAAAAGAAGCAACGTCATGTAAAGTACAGATGTCTCTCATTCTCCTAGAAGGACATAGTTCTACAAGTCCAGTGCCAACAACAACAATAATAGTGATTTCTAATGGCTAAGAGGCAACCATAAAGAAAAAATTATATTATTCATGTCTATTGCATGTATTTCTCTAAACCTTATACGAGAATTTCATCATATAGTAAAAATGTTACTTTATCATTTAAAAGCACATTTGCAATTACTTGTATTGCATTGATTATTAATTGTCTGACAGCGCAACCTGTCAATATTATGTACTTGTCAATACAATAACCTATTTTAGGTAAACATAAAGGTCTGACAGATTTAAAGCATTCAAAACATAACAAAGGTCAATGTATTTTAGTATAACAAACTGACTGAATAGAACTATCGATCAATTTTTGAATTTGAAATAATTCAAATTTCTGATGTTTCCAAACAAAACTAGTGATCTCCTTATTATGAGAGAACCAAATGTTGAACGTGCTGAAAATTTTAAAACTTGATGCCACCCTGTTAATTTTTTTAGCCCACTGTTAAAAGGATGAAAGATTGAGGATTTAACAAAAACATATAGAGAAAGGATTGAGAAACATGTTGAGAAAAAATCGAACATCACTAAAATCAAGCCTGATAACTTTAATCATCGATGATTCCACTGTTTTACTTATCATCATATTTTTCTCACGACTTATTTAAAAAAATAAGAAAAAGATATCAAGCTTACCCCATTAAACCTCTTTCTTGTAGAACTCTTCTGTAAGTAAAAACAAAAGTTATTATTTTCCAAATATTCCAAAATATTCAAATTTATATTCTTTTAAAATGTCAACACAATTCTATGTTGTTAGCTAGCATGCCAAGTATAACACTGGGATATAGTTTAACACATAGCTATGGACTGAATCATGATATATTGCATTGCATATTATATTTTTACAAGTACACATTTAAACTTGCCAAAATGAACAAACACTAAACATGCATTCACAATAAACTTATGTTATGTCTGTGGTAGAGTGATGAAATATTGATCATTAGAATCATTCTACTCCACATTTAGAACTAACTGTCAACATTTTGAATCTTGTTTTTGAAACTGATTGAAAAATACTATTGAGATTAACTAATTTGAACCTAAAACTGGATAAAACATTCTCTCTAAATTTTCATCTGAGTGCAATTGATTTTAAACTTTAATTTTTTACTCAGGATGAGGAGTGTAAGTTAAATTATATTTAGAAGGAGCACCAATAAAGTTTATTCCAAATCACATTTTATTCTGACAAAGATGATAATAGTGTTAATGACGTTAACATGTTAACATAAAACTAAGCTATTCATATTGACACATTTTGCTGCACCTGTGGTTTCAAGTGCCACCCAAGTCTATTTGTATTTTATTTGTATTTATGGGAAGTGAATTATGGAGGGATTAGATTAAATAATAATTAACAAACTTTTACATGCATTTACATAAGCATATTATCATCGAAAGCTTTTTAGTATCTACATTATGATAACCTACAAATAACTCATGAAGATAGTTTTTCTCAGTATATGTATTAAAATATAAATACAGTGTAGTTATAAATACAGCATATACATACAACACACATTTTTCCTTTTGTGTGTTTATATCGTTCTTCCATATGTTTTTTAAACTGAGATGAAATAGCTCATTATGCATATAAAGGCTGTATTGTAGACTTTGGATCACAATTTCAATTCACAATTATTTATAACATAGACAATGTCGACTGATGGGTACACTTTTTGAGGATGAATAAATTCACTCATTTTATCATAAAATGTATCTTTTCAAATATGGTCAACTCAAGTCCAATCACATATCTGGACTTTCATGACTACTATTTAAAACTGGCGTAACTAATAAAAAGTGAATAAATTTTTTTAACAGTCGCAACTTGAACTATGCATTGATTCCTGATTAGTTTCAAGTACCAAATATTAATTTGATCAATCAGTCAAATTTTATCTCTGGCCATTTGTAAATAACGGAAAATGTAAATTAAACTTGAACTTTGGAGCATGAAATATTTAACATTATTCAAACACATGAATATCAATTTCACTCAATAAACAGTACCATTGTATCAGAAAATATCATTTACTTATCTTGTATCTAGTATTTGGGGTTAGACATGGTAATTGAGCCATTACCATACAATTTTCCACATACATGAATGTTCATGTATATTAGCTACTTAACATTATGCTACATGCTATACGTTTATCTCAATTTCATATGAAAGATTATATAGCTAGCTACATTTCAGGATTTAATGTACAATCGGCTAAATCAGAGCAACAAAATATAATGGCTCTTGGGATAAGCAAATACATACTAGCTAATGCTTTTAAAATTTTAAACCATAATAAGTCTTAAATAGGTAAAGTGTATTAGTTATCATATCAACTATCATATCATTATTATCATATCAACTATCATATCATTATTATCATATCAACTATCATATCAGCTATCATATCATTATTGTTGGATTGCATATTAAAAAGAAACAGGGAAATGTTAAATAGTATTGTTGTTAGAAAAGCAGATATACTGAGATAGTTAAAGCAAACAGGATAAGGAAAATAGTACCTACAATACAAGAGACATACTTTAGGTAAATTGCATATAGTGTGAAGGTATAGGGTGTGCATAAGATATATGTGAACAAACAAATGGAAAAATACAGGGTGACAGACTTGCACTGTGTGATTCTTTTGTGACACCCTGTAGTTTTCCTTTGGTTGTATATTTTTGATTCAAGGTAGGGACATATAGGGATGAAGGATGCGGGATATGTGGGATGCGTCATTCTGTTGTTAGGGCGATCTGACATTCTCTATGAGTAACACATTACCCAGTGGAACTCGTGGTCATATTGGGCCCATTGCCCTGAAGTTGCACAGCGCCACGCACCACCGTCACTTTCTGGTAGTTGGACGTAGTCGATGTTGTTTTCTTTGTTTCGTTCGTATTCGTCCACTGCCCTTTCCTTATAGTATTCACACAGAGGTTAGAAAATGTGCATAGGTAAGAGAGAAACGAAATGTTTGTTTTTGTGTTAAATTGGGTTCCAATTATATATATTATGAACTTCATAAGTATAAACAGGTTTGAAGTTCATACTTCAGGGGTTTCATTAGAATTTCAAACAACAGGCCAAATTATTGGATATCATGATATGGAAACAAATACATAATACCTCTAACAATAGTAAATCTTGGTAAATAAAAACAACCAAAAATTGCCCGTTGTCTGCTCCTAATGAAACAATATATATGCAACAATATACTGAAACATCATCTTTAACATTCTCTTGATGAATTCAACAAGAACTATGGATCAAAAACAAACATTTGAACTGAATTGATGAGCAAAGTTGTATATAGAAAATAATAGTGTATAATAAATAGATGGTGCAATGGGTTGAATATACAGTAGCAGCAAATTTCAGAATGTACAGACATAAGAGAAATCACAGAGCAGTATACTAGTACTGGCATCCCCTCCTCAATATCTAAAGTAACAAATGTGTATATGGGAGAGGGGTTACAGATTTTTTAAGGCAGGAATGTTGATGAAAATATCCTGCATGTAAAATTTGTGTCACCCTAGCATATAGTAATAATCATGGTAGAGTATCTTCGTCTGTCCCTATATTAACTCCAAACTCTACCCCAGCATTTAAATCCCCGAAGGAAAAATGTGTTTGGGGGAAGAGGGTACTGGTTTTACAGGTCACAGATTTAATGATAAAATCCTACACATAAAATTGGTGTAATCCTATTCTTTGACAGCAATCAAATAAAGCAAGATTGATTTTGTAGAGATGGATGCCTCAAGTTATAATATAGAATACATATACAGTACTATACTGTAGGTATGAAAAGGGACAGAGAGTGTGTGAATACGTTTTATGTAATTCATCAAATTTAACCAATATAATTCAACCAATATAATTCAAAATATTACACCAAGATGAATAAAATGTAGATACAGCTCATGATATAGCGAGCTATTCTGTAAAGTGTAAACTGAATTTTTAAAATGTGAACTCATTCTTAAGGGTTCAATTAATAACTGACGATTCTTAGAATGACATTGTTACATCTGAATAATGACTTAAGGGTCAAATCGTGAATTATGATTGTTTCAAAAATAAACCAAGATGTAAACAGAATAGCATTTACATGCACATAATTCATGCACATAACCCGTCAAGGACCTACTTATAACCTAAACCTGGCACAGAGCCGACCAGTAAGACATTATATAAGATTTATATATTTGAATTTATATGTAGTTGGCCACTTAACAATCATTATAAGGAAAGACATAAAGTGTGTGGATATAATATATCTGATAACATTTACGATTGTTCCCTCATAAATGAAACTTAACAATAAATTTTATAAACCATAAACTTTAATGTAAACATGATTTTCTTATATCAAAAAGGAAACTTGTAGGTGAATAAAGAAACCATGCAAAGACTGGTTCCCAATCTTGCAAATTGTGGCAATGATGGTTTCGAACCTAGTTTAAAACTCTCACAAATGATTCAAATATTAAGTTAGAAATTCTCTCACCTCCTCTGGGCGAAATAAAAGACAAATTAAAACGTATAATTTCTTCACTAATTGTGGGAACCAATTATCCTAGCAAGAGCACCTGACGCTGACAAACTTGATAAATGTTGCTTTTAATTTAATTAAATCAAGCGCAAAATGGCAGAAACATGACATGCACATGTTGTCACACCTATCATTTCACGGAAACTATCTTTTCAATCTGTTACCACATGCAGTTTCTGCATTTGTTTAATTATAGAATTAAATTGAAATAATCAGTTCAAAATGAGACATCAGATAATCTTTACTCCTCAAATTGTTAATTCCATTGTAAAGTATTGAATTTATCAATCAGAAACATCACATAGATATTTGCTTAAGGCCCCTTGCTTTGGATAAATATGGATGCATATACCAAAAAATCATTTTAACCATGATGTACAAAGAGTTTCATTATCAGGAAGCAATTGAAATTCTCCAGTTGTTTTTCTCAAAATCGTCCATTATTTTGCAGAGTGAGATGTCTATATTATACCATTAACCCTCAATAACTTTCACTGTTTTATGACAGGACATAAAAATGAGACTTTCCTGTTCAACATTAGCACTCCGAATTCACCTTTTGATATAGCCAATATATATCTCTTTTATTAACTCACTTAACAATGTTATAAGTGATATAATCTAATGGGGCCTAGATAAACTATTGAACCCAAATCTCTACACATGTTTTTCCATTTCAAGGCTAGAGTATTTTATTCAAATAATTGTATTAGTATTGATTTTGAAAAATAAGGTGATGAAAACTTTCATTTAGTCATATGCTTTTTTGAATAAATATAAAATACCTTAAAACTCACAACCCATATTTTAAGTTCTTTAAACTGATGCAGGAATGATAGTGCTATAATTTTATCTTCCTAAAATCTGTTCGGGTTAACATGGAACCATAATGGATGTGCCACAGAGGCTGGCATTTGTAACTCAACACAGTGAAACAATATAACATAAAGTTATTGTTCAACAGATACAATAATCAAACATGACAATGAAATGTGACAATGACTTTAAATATACCAATGAAAAATGAAAAATGAATAATAATGATATGTGACGAAAGGTTGTGAATATATATACATACATTGTACTGTATGTCGTGTAAACAAAGAAATATAATCATAGACCATAAATCATGAAATGTAAAAATAACAATTGATTATGAAAAAGCATTTTAGAAAACAAGAAAAATCTGTCCTGCTAATAAAATAAAATCAGAAATTCCACGTTTCATCCAAAATCAATTTGACAGTTGAGAAATGTCCATTATTTCTGCGACCCCCTCCCTCCAACTATGCCTACCTTTTCACGATTCTCTGGGTCGTGAAATATTGAGTTTGTTTCTTCAGATGAACCTGGTGAGACTCGTTTCCTTGTCCAAACTCCATGCCTGATTCTAATGTCATTTTCTACTATATGATTATATACAGGGGTCAATTTTTCGTTTTTAGGTCCCTCCTCATAAAAATTGCTATTTCCCAAAGTATGGATTGTTAAAATATAATGTTTATTTCACAGAAGAAGCGTTTTTCCTCTCAAATAATCCACAAAGCGTGTTAGATAACAACTAATTCATATGCTGTTGATACATCATATAATCTATATTTCATCTATTTTATTGCAATATTTGAAACCTAATCCATGCATCCAGCATCATACATATGCTATCTTCTTTTCAAATCCCATTTAATAACTACAAAGTGATAATTGGCTACATCCAGAGTTTGATCAAAATGAGGAAAAATTCACTTTATCGTTGATTGCTCGAGAGATGATCGATCAAATATCCAAAAAGACTTCCAATTTAAACTGACTATTTCTTATCCAGCACACCCATCTCAGTTCAACTGTCATTTGGAGATAATGTATTGAAAATAATCCAAAACGTCAAGGTGCATTAACTTCAAAAATAGAATCCTTGGCTTGGCTAGGTGGCTTTCCTCAGATTAAGTACATGTTATAGAATATGATGTCTTATTTATTGTTGAAATGATCAAATAATCTGATAAGAAGATGATTTTGTCCTCCCAGTGTGATCTTGCAAAGCTTTAAGCTCCTTGCTTTTTATGAAATGACTTATTACGCAAACTAAACTGCTTTTGAATGTTTTAAAAATAATTTGACTATATTTGAGTAATTTTTTGTCCAGTCTGAAGCATATTCAGCATTTGAATGTTAGCGTCTGTGACCTTACCACCAAAGTTTTAATGATCATGAAATTATCCCTGACAATAAGCACTTCATAAGGGCCCCTTGGACTCTATCCAAACCAGTGAAGCAAAACCTGACAAACAGCCATAGTAAACCTTAGGCCACCTCTATAATAAAACATATAAAGCAGACCATTTGATACAGTGAATGACTACACTGAAATATACAAAACCAATATTGAAAAGATAAGAAAACAAAATGAAGAGACAGTTCCAAAATGGGACGAAGAAGACAATATTCAAAAATAGCTCAGAAATGGTTCAATCTGTGCAGCTGAATCTTAAAAGAACATATCTATGGCCATAAACAACAACTAAAGTACAATATACCCACTTCAATTTGGGTTTAACTTTCAACTTTACTCATTTCATCTACTGATTTATTGCCTGGTTTAATGTTAAGAGTACAACTTGAATTATCAACTGTTTTCTATACAGTCTTTCATGTAACCAGTATAATGCCCTCCCACACACTTATGCATGTTATATGTACTGCTCTTGACTTGGTTCATCAGGGTCAAAATTGTTTAAAACTGACAGTTATTTTTTGATTTTCAAATATAAGAAATGCTCCAAGAATAACACAATTGTTCAGTCGTTTCAAAATATAAATTCATTCTCGGCTACTTGTCTTAAAATATGCTTTAATTTCTAAAAAAAATCGAATAATGAACGTTTGGCCAATTTGATATATACTCTATATGTACTAGACCTCAATATGTCATTTCTTGTTATGCAAGAGATATACAGAAACCCAGCATTGAAACTCATGATACAATAATCATTGTGTAGAAGCATGACCTATGCCTAAAAACAAAACACTGTGACACAAACTCTGAAAAATACCAGACATCCAATTGACTCAAAACAACTCCAGGAAAATAAATCACCACAATCCCCTTTAATTTAAATCTTCCCAAAGAACTAATGAAGTATATGGACCCAACTTTATAGCATATGAACATTATCAAAAGCCTCGTTTCTCCGTTTATTTTGATTATCTCAAATCCTCACCTGTTCATGCTAAATGGCATCAAAATATCACCATAGTGATGGTTTTCTTTCAAGGCTATATATCATCTTACCTAATGCTTGGTAAAATATCCTAACTGGTGATTTATGTGAATTTCTGTAGAACACAAACAATCTTCCTATTCTCATTTATCAAAATAGGGTTGTTCAAAATATGTGACATTTGCATCCTCCTATGTATTTCCTGATATTCCAAATTCTACGCTTTTTACAATATAATATCCTGATTCTTATTCTTCATTTTGAATTTTCAATTTAAACAAAGACATATAAACCATCCAGAAATATGCTCATATCTCCCTTTCACCAAATATTTCAATTTAATTAAACCTTTAATCCATATTTTTTAAAATTAAGACATATGTAATCCTTACATCCATTGTGATCTTGTAAGTCCAGTTTAGTTCATACAATCAACAACACAGGGGACATACTTGTAATATAATTTGACTACAATATGCTTTAATTACAATCAAACCTATCATTACTTTCATATATATTTTAGCAATAGCCAGAAGAAAAATAACCCAGTCAGCAGCACAGCTAACAAAATCCTATGCAAAAAGGTAATTTGGCCATGTATGGGTTCCCACAAGTAAAGGCATTTTTTGTAGCCTGTGAGCAAGACTGAATTAAATGTAGTGCAATTTGTGTTAGGTTAATTTTGAGTTTTTAGCTATGGGCTAAGAATAGATGCATGGTTTTATCATCAACTGATTGTAGGTTATGATCATAGAGAAAAGCTATTGTTGAACTGGTATGTGATGTGCTTAGTTGTGCTAGATAGACACTCTCTTTAACTGAGCCAACAAATCAAACCCTGTTTCTGTTCATTTTGTCATCAAATGCAACTGGACACGACTGTTTCATATACTCTCTAGGTACTCGAGAAAATTCATGACAATTCCATCATTAATGAAGAAGATATTTTGAAATGATTTTTGTGTCATATGTATGAGTACATATGTGTGTGTGTGTTAGAGAGAATAAACACGCAAGTCAATAGGTGTCACTGTGAGCACCAAGCTTGCCACTCCGTACTTACAGGCAGGAATCTACAAGTTGATTGTTGCCCGCATTGCTTAAATCCACCCCTTCTTCACCATAGTCGTAATATGACTCGGTGGTCGATGTAGCTGTAGGGGCTCCACCGTTCTGTCCCCTCCACCGAAAAGATTCATTAGTTTCAGTTATGCTATCCATACTTTCATTATCACTGGCGTACTGAAAAACAACCCAATGTACCGCTAAAGAATATTAACTGCGAGACTACTATTTGTACTTACCGATAACTATCGTCATAATCGTAGCTATTCATACTCGCCGAATCACTGCCAACCTTGATCTGGAAAATTCAAAATGGCCGCTTAGCGATTAAAATTCCGCCGCTGGGTTAGTCTTGACTATGCTTAAGCGTGGGTGTATATAACTAAATAAATAAACAACTCCATGCTGAATTAATAATAAACATGATACACACAAAACATGCAGGAAAAAGCATAACATATTCTCCTAGCAAAATCCACCATATGCATTTCTCAAAATGGCCAATTTCTTTTATGATGTGATCCATAGCCCATAAGCATTTGGAGGTGATACTTAAGCCTCAGTCACATTTGCCCTATGGCGGGTGTACAGACACTGTAGCTTCACAAAATCAATAGATACATTGTACTGCTTATCCCTATATTTTACGCTGCATATTTCTCCCGATTTTAGAAAGCTACGGCCAACGTTTGGTTGCCGTAGATCAAATGTGACTGAGGCATAAGGAATGCAGAGTATAAATGCGAAATGTGTGTCTGCAATCTATTGAATACATGCATAGATGTTAATATTAACAATTCTCAAATCTACTGTCTTCCTTACTCCCTTCTAAAAGTTGGCAACCCTAACTCCTCTATTATACCATTTTTAATAGCCTTTTTATATACAATAATTTTCAGGCATTCATCAAATTATTAAAAATTATTTCTTAACTTCTGTCAATGAGGAAAACAAATTCAATTCAAACATGGAGGTTTTAACATCTAATATGGTACTGAGTTGTCATACTTTTGATGGGAGTGTAGGATTTGTGCATTTTATTAGGAGAATAATGCATGTGCTTATTACAAGATGACATTTTCAAAGGCAACCTCATGCTACTAATATTCCCCATATACAGAATCACACAACTGTTTGTGTATTTCTCCACCCGATGTAACATAACATAAAATAAGAGGAAATGTGACAAAAATGACATTTAATGAAAAATAATGAGTATTAAACAAACAAAACAATTTACAACTGACAAAAGATTAAAAAAGTGAACAAATAACGTCTCGATAAAATTCATTTTTGAGTAACTGACAATCAAATAAATGAATATGGAGTTGTGCGAATTCAAATATAAATTTCGAGGAACTATTGAGAACTCAAATTTGAGATTCTTCACATTTCATTGATGTTCTTTTTTCCAAGTGTCTGTAATAACTTGAGTACCGGGAGGCAATGTCGTCTATGTAGATAATTGTCGTCCATGTTGATAATTGTCGGACACTAATTGTATGCAGTCATTAGTCCGACAATTACCTATATGGACAACATTGCCTCCCTGTCCTTAAAAGCATGTTACAATAAATAAATGCATGATACAATAAATAAATACATGATACAATAACTAGATGCATAATACAATCTCTACAGATGCATCTAAATAATTATCCATAAAAGACAATGCGTGTTCAGAGGAAACAAAAAGAAGAATAAATTGGTATCTTAAAATTGTTTTTGTTATATCTACACAAAATGAACGATCCCAATGAACAATATATTTATTTTCTAATAAATTTTTTCTAGTAAACTATTAATGATTGTCACACAGAATAATGTTTGTATTGCCTAAACGATATATTATTTCTCAAACATTACAAAATAATTTTAGTTATGCACCAGGGGGCCATTAACAGAAACTTCGTAAAGTTAAGAATTCGTAAAATCCATTGTTCTCTTAGCTAACTGTGACGTCATTATATCCATGGTTACAACAACTGATTTACGAATTCGTAACTTTACGAAGTTTCTGTTAATGACCCCTAGATGGACAGATACATGGACTGACAGATAGCCAGATAGAGGACTTCACTATATCCATATCAAACTTCGTTCATTTAGATAATAAAAACAGAATAAGAAAAAATGCAATAACGATGCAAATGAGTAAATACTACTAAGTGAAGCACTTTGCACAGGTATTCATTATAAACTAATATATAACATTAATTCATATTATTTCAGAAACAAAGCATTACTGCTATTTAACTTATGCAGTGCTATACTCAGCCTCAAGCATTTTACATTTCATAAGATGTGATATTCATAAACTAAAAACTATGAGAATTTTATTTTGAAACTTGAACTGATCTAGCATCTTGGTGGTTGGTTGAGTATAACATATGGACAGGGAAAGGAATTTACAAACAGATATACTTAAAAGCTTGAAGATGATTGGAACTGTCTTTTGATGAAGAGCCATTCATTTTTATGTTTACGTATGTAGAATCTAAGATCAAATTGAAACATTAATGTGAACATGGAGTTACATCGCTCCTTACCCGTTCAAGTTGGTTAGCGACACTCTGGCGTTCTGCCTCAAGTTCTCTCGTCAGCTGCTCAAATTGGGCCTCCTGGAATCACAGACAACATTCTGGTAATTCATTGATGGAATGGTACATTACAAGGGATGATCAATAAATTTTGCTATGAAATGGTCTGCATCACACATCTATCTCTCAATCATAAGGCTCTGACAAACATAAAGTGAGGGAAGATCCAAGAAATTCTGCTAGTTTCATGGCAGTCTCCAGTTTTACCCTCAAAATCTAAAACCAGAAGTAATATATATGGTAGGAATGGGGGAGGGGGGGGGGGTAGTTTACATACAAGACAGGGAACCAGCCTTATCTATAGCCACAGACAAATAGTCATACAGGCCAATAAAAAAATAATAATAAAGGACTTCATTTTGCCTTGTTATGCATTCAACTATAAATTGATTCAAGAATTCCCCAATCAATCAGTCTACAACAATTGGGTAATCATGCACAAATACTTACATAAAACAATTTTTTCATCATCCCAAAAACCAACTTCTATAAATCTTGAAAAGTAACAGCTAGGAAGTGTTACTAGTTACATACTGCAATTACTATGAATAAGTTAGTTTATCATTACAGTTCAGTAGTCATATCAATGCAATAAACTGGGATTTATCACAATAATGACTTTTTATAACTTTCTATGTCAACCCAGCCTTAAAAGCATCAAATATGGTAATCTCTAATAGGGATAGGATCAAATACCATTCTCTTTAAAAATATACCTAAGTGCATGTTTTAATTGTTTTCTGTCTGTTACCTAAGCAACTTTCCCTTTTTTCATATACCTTCTGAAAAGACAATGTTTAGTTTGATTTCCTGAGATTTAACTACTGCAAGGGTTTTCTGCATGGCCTGTCCAGGTTATCCATTGTTTTCTTTTATCCTCATATTTATTAACAGATAATCCCAAATGTAAATCACAATTATTGAGAGATTTCTACATTACTGACTACAGTAAAACCTGTCTTATCTGAATGCAACTGGGATTAGCAAAATTAGTGTTCAGATTACCAGGTGTTTAATCCTTAGAAACACCCCTGGACCATGAATGCAGGTGTTCAGATTAGAGAGGTTTTCCCATATACAGATTTTGATGAACCATCTCTGAGTCAAATTAATCTCTCAACACTTTTCTAAGCAAAGAGGAAATATGCCCGTTGACATTTTGCCTGGGATTTAATTGAATTTGGTGGACTAACTGCAGCTATTACATGAGCCTTGTTACTGTTAATTGTATTTAACTCAGCTGTTAAGGTATCTTTATCTCATTAGCACCAATGGCCATAGAGGTTTGGTAAATGATTCTATGCTTACAAATGAGGCTAAAATTCAAGGGGGGTTATAACTGAGGGAGTTAGAAATAAGGAAATGTGTAAAAGGGGATGGGTAACAAATGAGGAGGTTACATATTAGGAAAGGTTACAAATGAGGAGAGGTACAAAATAGGAGGGTCGGGGTGACAAATGATGAAGATGTTACAAATACCAGTAAAGAGATTGTTACAAATGAGGAGAGGCTATGAGTATTTGAGTAAGGGGGGGGGGTTATAGATGAGGGGGTTACATATAAGGAGGGGAATAATTAGAGAGGAGATTAAATCATGCAATTAAGGTATAACTTCATGAATAGATAGTTTGTCTAACACTTCGAGCTATTTTCTCTGGCTCTGTATTAGACTGACTTAAATAAAACAGGCAACGAAAACATGAAGAGTACATGAATATGCTTAAGCATTTTCATAACAGATGATCAATTAGGTAGAGTACAGTTTAAGGCACAGCAGCTAGTAAATTGTAGAGTGTTAATTTACCATAGCACCCCTTTTTATAAGATCTGTATAAGCTTTGAGCACTGTAATCAGCAGGGGTAGAATATTATACTGTCACTATTCAAATTACCACACCTAGGCATCATATTGAATTTTGGATTTTTCCCTTGGTTGAATAACAGTTTCTTTCGTTAATTATTGAACACAAGAATTACCTGTTCTTTTACAGATTGCAAGATACTAGCTGCGGACTCGTCTCCGTTCCTTATCACAGGCTCTTTGGTAGCTTGACGGAAATTATAATTGAGTGTATTTTCATGTGTGGGATGGGCAGTCGTGCCCGCGGGCATTGCGGTACAGGGTCAGAGGTCAATGCTATGGAGATGTCAATGGGGTCTTAGTATAAAGCACACCACAACCTGCAAGCACAGTAAATACCACCTGTTAGTTACTAGGCTAGCTTGGTAATATTACCATGTAAACTCACATTAGGGCAGTCAAATTAGGGTGGCTACTGGTAAAGAGCCTCTGATCTTCCTTAAACAATGGGAGGTAGTCAATGTACCCTTTCTCTCATTCTAACACATTGTGGTAGATAGAGATAAAGGGGCTTGGTGCAAGACTACGACAAAATTTCAACTGAGGCACTGTTTGGACTGCCTTGTTTATTTTTATATCATGTTGGTTTACATGGTAAAGTTACATTTTACATGCAGTTAAGTATCTATAGCAACAACATAAACATTTATGTAATTAATATATTAATGGGGATTATAAATGGTGAATAGTGATAAGTCCATGTAAAGTACTTTGTTAAAATAACACAACTTTGAATACAAGTACAAAAATAGACTTGTTACTATTCCAACTGGATATAACACGGGGTGCCATCGAATAATTTTGGCAACGTACCGGAGAACGACATTTTACTAAGAAATGGCAATAATTTAGCACAATATATTTTTTAACTAGAGTTCTACTTTGATTTTGACGAAAGTAAGTATTCCATGCAATAACTATTTCATTCATGAGTTTGTAGGAATTCTGTTGGAACCCAGTTCTGATCAAGTACGAAGTTATTGAAATCGGCGCAGACGGACTTTACTCCGAAAGATGGTTTTTCGATTATAACTTTTCACAACAATTAAGTATAGACTTTTGAAAAAAGTACAGAATAGTCCTTATACTTTTGAATAATTCCGTTATTTCTTATTCACACGACTCTGATTTGTTTAATTAAAAAAAAAGTTTTAAAAATGTTACTTAGGAACGTAACCGGAGCTGGGAACGTAACCGGAGCAGATCAGTTGAATTATTTAATCGAAAAAATTAAAATATATGATTGAAAGCACATATACTAATTTAAAAACATACGGGATTGTTCGAATGCGTATTTATTACATTTTATTTAAAGAAAAAAATGTATCCATTGTGAAAAATTAAATTTGGTATTTACCATGCATAAGTGCACTTACCTTAGAAAGGCTATCAAACATAGAAGAATCATTGTATGGAGAATGAAGTGATTAAATGTAGTAAGCAAATAATTCCATTTGATTTCACCCATTGTATTTGTTCAGCGAACTATTAGAAACCACTCTGTTATACTAATTTCGTATATATATACTGTTTATACATACATGTATTATACTTCTAAGACAACTTCTCTTTTTCAGGGGAAATAAAAGCATTTAAATGCTAGATTATTAAAAAAGTTAGGATACAACGAACTATATATAGCGTAGGTGTGTTAAGTACTTGTCATGTGCTCGACCAAATCGAATCAACATATGCTTTCTGAAATTCTTCACCTAAACCCCCCCCCCCTCCATATAAACGTAAGATGTTTGAGTGAGTGCCCGTTTATTGTTTTATGCAAAACCAGTTGTTATCCATCTTTGTTTCGATAAACTCTTGCTTTAATAATGTGCTAAATGTATTATATCATTGAAAAATGTATTTCGTGTCAAATAGTTCAATTTGGCGGGAAATCAACAAGCGGGGTTTTATTCCGAGGGCTAATACGTATTATAATAATCTTACTTTACCTTGAAGTAGAGTAACTCGTGTATGCTGTAAAATCTTCCTGAATTGTTAAAGAAGGCAAATGACAATACATGAATAGAGAAAATAGTTAATATGAACGATTCTATCCAATCTTGTGCCATCGAATCGTTCCAATAGTACATATTCGTAGTCAGTATGAGTTTTAGTCGATTCAGTGCAATTTCAATTATTACACTCAAAATCTTATGGAATAAAAGAATATCACATTGACACGCAGCGCTACACCAATTCAAAAATATCATATTACATGTATGTCTTTCAGTCAATGTCATACTGTCACTCGGAATAAAAATATATTCCTTACCTCTTGCTTACCTTGGAATTATCAAGGAATACATGTTCATAGCATGTTAATTGTACAGTGTAATCAGGCACAAAGGCAACTTTCGCTAAGGGGATTCATTTTTAAGAATATAATATTTCCTAATGCTCAACTTGACAAACGGCTTTTTGTATTTAATTAAATTTCAGTATGGCGCATGTGTGTCACTTCTGTGGCAGTCATTTTTCTACAAATTACAACATGCAGCGACACATGAGGAGTAGGCATGGAGCGGGATGCCTCGTTCCATATACGTGTTATAACTGTGACAAAACGTTTACAAGAAAGGAATATCTTATTGAACATATGACGATAGCACATAGATCCAGTGATCAAGATGAGATGTTTGTGTGTGCAAAATGCCCAAAACAGTTTCTATCTAAAAGACGTTTGCGCAGACACGAAAAGACACATGCAAACACTGAGTTTTATTGTGACATATGTCAAGAAAATGGACTTAGTGATATGCAAGTACGATCCTTTAAAACCAAGGAATATCTGGACAAACACAAAAGGATTACCCACGGAAAAGTTGTATTTGAATGTCCCCATTGTGGAAAAACATGGAAGAAAAGGGCAAACATGATCAATCACATTAAAAAAAATCACTGAACAATTTAGGAATTTATTAACTCATGAAAAAATAACTATTTTAAGGCATCACTTTTGTATTAGGCCTATTTGCTTTTAATTAGCGATGCGACTGATGACTGCCTCTTCTTTGTTTGACAGAACTTTGTACTATACATGTATCTCCTTGTGTTACTTCCCAGCTTCCCACTGAAGCAATAGCTATCAGTGAATTTTTTGATACTCTAAAATATAAGTGCAAAAAATATATCTTTAGAAAATTTATATATTTTTCCATGCATTGATTTTCCTGTAAGTGAAGGGTAATAAATGCTCATTTTAACATTCATATGTGTTTGTAAATAATATATATGCTTTAAATCATATATTTTATTTGTTTAAATTATATAATTCAACTGATCTGCTCCGGTTACGTTCCCAGCTCCGGTTACGCTCCTAAGTAATATTTTTAAAACTTTTTTTTTAATTAAACAAATCAGAGTCGTGTGAATCAGAAATAACGGAATTATTCAATAGTATAAGGACTATTCTGTACTTTTTTCAAAAGTCTATACTTAATTGTTGTGAAAAGTTATAATCGAAAAACCATCTTTCGGAGTAAAGTCCGTCTGCGCCGATTTCAATAACTTCGTACTTGATCAGAACTGGGTTCCAACAGAATTCCTACAAACTCATGAATGAAATAGTTATTGCATGGAATACTTACTTTCGTCAAAATCAAAGTAGAACTCTAGTTAAAAAATATATTGTGCTAAATTATTGCCATTTCTTAGTAAAATGTCGTTCTCCGGTACGTTGCCAAAATTATTCGATGGCACCCCGTGTATAAAAGCATAAAAAATTAAATTCTCAAATAATGTTTTCATTACTGAATTTTTAATTTTAACTTTGATTCCAAAGTATTATAAACATAAATTGTTATTAGTATAGAATGTTATACAGTATTATGAAACATATATCACAATCAGTTGGAGGGAGTCAGTGAAGCATGCATTTCTGGGCTAAAGTAAGGTAAATCACAACAGGCCTGTAGCCAGCTTTTGCAAAGGGGTTCACTTGTCAAAAACTTCCAAGGGTTCACATTTGACAACTTTGCCCCAAAGCCACTTGAAAAGAGCTCAGGATGGTGAAAAACTGTGTTTTTCTGAAATAATCTTTGGCAAAGGAGTTCAGTTGACCCCGACCCCCCCCCCCCCCCGAGCCTGCACTAGGAAAGTTTTGTGACAATTTTGCTCATCACAGTGAAAGATTGCTACACACAAAAATAGCAACTATTTTATCCTATGATTAATAACTTCATTCTAATATCATCTCTCACATTGCTCTTATATCTATCTAGAGACTCCATGTACACTTTGACATTTCAATGTTTACTAGCAAGACATTTTTCAGAACCCCCAATTCACAAAGGTATCAATTATCAAAGCACTTGCTAAACATACTAGGAATTATACAAGTGGTATTATATACAACTTGGCTTTTCAAGTAGTTTAACCCTCTTTTGTCATCACTATGAGAGTTAATAAATCAGGACAGGACCTCCATCATAATACTGGAAAGTTGAACACAATACCATGCGTAGGTAATGATTTCCAAAGCATAAAGGGAAGTAGGTGCTCCCAACTTTTGAGATTTTGATGAGACTGAAAATATTTGAAAACCTATTGTACCCCCTTGAAAATGAGAAATCATAGAAAATTGCATTTTTCTTCAGAATTGTGAATAAAATCTCATTTTGAACCCATTTCGAAAAATTGTATTGAGCCTCGCAAATATCTCAAGATTCCATACCAATATGATTCACCCTATGCAGACAGAGCCTGTGGGAAATATTGGGTGGGGAGCAAATGAGCGGAGGGTGCGGAGCTAACGGTCATTTTTGAATTTAAATTTGGGATATTTCTGGAACTAAGCCGTTTTGGGACTTCAAATATACCAAGATATGTGTATTTGACACCAAATATCAATAAAATTGTGAAAATAGTAGCGCAATTCATTCTATAGCGACGCAGTGTGCCTTAAACCTTTCCCAGACCTATATATTTTGAAATTATCCTTTTAATACTGAGTCCCCAGCATTCATAAAAAATGGTGTTCAAGGTACACTATCTATACAAATTAGTTTTGCATCTTGGAAGCCAGGCAGTATCAGTGTGATTTTATAAAAATTCGGAAATGTTTTTCAGATATGAGCCCCCTCTAAATATTGGGTGCGGAGCTACGTTTATGGAGCTGCTCCGAATTTTTATAAAATCACACAGATACTGCCTGGCTTCCAAGATGCAAAAATAATTTGCATGGGTAGTGTATCTTGAACACCATTTTTTATGAATGCTGGGGACGCAGTATTAAAAGGATAGTCTCAAAAAATATATAGGTCTGGGAAATGTTTAAGGCATACTGCGTCGCTATAAAATGAATTGCGCTACTATTTTCACA